GGCAAATTTAGTAATTTACTGATTTACTGATGTAAAATTTCATATGGCTGAAAAATGTTACGACCGGGAGCTTCTGACCTCATTCCGGGGCACCGGGAGCAGCGTGTCATACCGGGAGTCTCCCGGTGAGACCGGGAGACTTGGGACGTCTGCATTATTGTATCTAGCCTCTAGCCTAGGTAACCACCACTGGCACCAGTAAAATACGCATCTAAAAATGCAATATTTTACCACATTCTGATGCTCAATAGCAGAGAATGCGTTCAGCTCAACCTTACTTGACAGAAACTCCGTATTTTACTATAACAAACCTTTATCTACGACGAGATTCAGAACACAGATAGTTCTGACAATCGCAGGCGGAGAGTGGGAGTGGGCGCAGACTTCTTACTTTATAAGCCCCGCAAAGGACCGAATACTACTACTAGTACTAGTACTACGATACTCGATAGTTGTTTTACACAGCTAGAGGGGTACCAGTCCCTTCTCACAAGCTCGATATAGCTCCCTATATCGAGCTTGTGAGAAGGGACGGGTACCAGTCTAGACACACGCCCAGGCACATCTACGCAACGAGGCGCCCAGTGGCGCCCACCCGTCTACATTTCGTTTCACGACACACTGTTTGTGTATATATCCGTAGTAGTTACTGTATCTAGCTTCATGATTGTAAACATTTATTGTAACAGTATGTGTGTATGGATGATCATGTACTTAAATAAATAAATTAATAAAAAACAACATTTGAAATGATGATGTTGCACCATAGCACCGCCACTAATTTGAGGACTTCCGTTGCGCTCCGCCAGTTCTATAAACCAATGTAGCTCCTTGCTATAAACGAGCAGCAAACGAGCAGCATTATTATAATAATTAATTTACAAAAACAACAAATAAGAGAGATGATGTAATGTTGTTTAATAAACAATAAGGACATTTCTCGTCATTAACCTTCATATATTTTGTATTACATACAGGATTATTTCTTACACGGAGAGCTCCTCGCGAATAGATATCCTGTTGCGTACTTCTTGTTACCCATCCACTGCACGTGGGCGTACCACACTGTCACTGGTCGAACGCGGCGAAGGTAAGTGTAACTTTTGTAACCTCGTAGCCGGCACAGGCACTTGCCACTTGGGACAGTCAGTAAAAACTGAAAATAATATGAACGCACATTCACAAATAGGCCCTACTACCGTACCTCTAAATTACAGTTCCACTGTTGCGTACGTCACTGTGTATCAACTTTCCTTCATAAAAACCTATGTAAAGACTAACGACGAACGCTCCCGCACTCGGCGTTGCCAAGGAGCTAAATATAACATTGTTGGGGTTGGGCGCTGCGAGTGTGCTGTGTCGCCATGATAATATATGGTATATTAAACAGAGGAACTGTAATTGAGAGGTATGGTAGTAGGGCCTATTTGTGAATGTGCGTTCATATTATTTTCAGTTTTTACTGACTGTCCCAAATGCCTGTGCTCGTAGCTGCATAAAGATTAGTCTGGAACTGTCGACTGGGTACCAGTCTATATTATACCTAGACCGAATAATTCTGTCCCATATAACCTTTTTTATATTTTGGTGAGGGTTATATTGGACAGAACGGGGTTCATTGAAATTTCGTGAGATCGCATGCAAAATGCATGCGCTGCGAATGCGGCCCGTACGCCGCTATTGGCGCGAAAAAAACCCTACCGTTTTCTTCTACATGACTTTACCTTGCTAAAGATATGTGTATACATTCACTTCAATTGTTATTCACTTCTTAAAAGATTGTTTTTCAGACACCCCGCTTCATTTAACTTTCGTAAATAACATTCGCCATTTACAAACAATCGGACCAATCAGAACGAGTCTATCTGCCCTCCTGCAGCGCCACAGATACAGGCGAGCAAGGGCTCCTTGCAAGCGAGAACCAGGCTATTGTTACACTCGCTCTGATTGGTCTGATTGTTTGTAAATGGCGAATGTTATTTACGAAAGTTAAATGAAGCGGGGTGTCTGAAAAACAATCTTTTAAGAAGTGAATAACGATGAAGTGACCTGTGATGTACGCATTTCCCAATGCGCATAGCGATCGGCAAACGCAGCGCCCTCCGATTGGTCGGTGAATCCGCTCTTCAAACCGAAGTACG